CTGCTCATGGATAGATTAAGAAGCCTTAAGATTGAGCCTTTGCTCAGATTTGCCTCCCCAATAATTTCTGGGTGTCCATCTAGGCTGAATGTAAGTGCTTCAATAGCTTTCTGAACTGGGATGTTAGCATACATAGATACAACATCAAAACTAACCAAAAGATCAATCTTTTTAATACTCTGTTGATCTGTTAATCTAGCAAATTCATATGAATTCTTCACTGAATATTTCCAATACTCCACCAATTTCCTTAGTTGTTTACATAAGAAACGTGAGATCCTATGCATCACAGTACCCTTGTTAATAACAATCAATCTTAAAGGAACTCCTTCCTTGTGTATTTTTGGAAATCCGTAAGCCGAAGGTGCCCTAGCATCCCTCTGAAGAAGTGAATTCATTTTCCACTTCTTAATTTCTCCTCTGCTTACACAAATGTTAAGCGATTCCCTAAGTCTGGTCGTAAGACTTTCTGTGGGATCGTTAAGTAAAAGTCTGTAAGTTTCAGAATCATTTAAATGAACCATCATTTTTTCTATATAACTTAACTAATCCATGATGACAACTGCACCAACTTTATCTGCGATTAAAACAAACAGATCATTTTGGTGCAAATATCTAGAAACATTATTTAAGTCATAAGATTTCTTTGGAATAATTACTTCATCAAAATGCTGAATAACTTCTCTTTCTATACTATTATTAGCCTCTTCTGGCAGCTTGTCCGTTAGGTTAATTAACTCAACCAGTATATCCACAGAATTATTTTGCTCATTTGGAAATGCAAAGTTTAAACCCCTTTCCAAGACGAGCGTAACATTAGTATCAATAGATATACTGGATAAGTTAATGACTTTATTTTTGCTATAAAAATAGCACTAAGTTTAACTACCTCCTTATTGTTTCGACGATTCCTTTGGCTGATGTTTATGCCTAAATTCCTTAATTTCTTATCATGTCGGCATCTATGGATCTTATCCATCTTGTACGCCAAAACGTCCGCCATTTTCTGCAATTTAATAAAGTCTTGATCGAAGATATGAAGACCAAGATGGTGTGGTCTTTTGTGTGGTTGCAGTCTACTTTCGTTGTATAGAAGTTGTTTGACCTGGTTTTCGCAACTTGGTCATATTGGTAGGAAGACTTAGAGGA